TGCTGAAACACCACAACAGCAAAATAATTTCATAGTGACTCAGACAGAGGAACACTTGAAAAAACAAACATCAACAACACTATTTGTTTTAAAGTTTTTTTTAGCAAAGGCCTTGTACAGAGCTGCATATAAAAATTAATAATAGGACCACATGGACAATTAGAATGTTCACATTATGAGGGGACAATAAAGGGAAAAACTTGCCATTTCATATACTAATTATTTTAACAATTCCAGTCCAGAGAAAATCCCATTTTCCTTCCATTGCATTTCCTTACTCCTCACGTTAAGTTGCTATTGCAGATATCTATATTCTCACCAAAAGCATTCGGAATGTTACACTTGACATTATTTAGTGAAGCCTAAATAAACACATATCCTCTGATTATATATTACTTTTTCCTTCCTAATGATGCAATTAATTAACCAGCAAGACCTTTCAATCTGTAAGTTTAAAGTAGTCAGGAGGTGCTCTAGTCTCTATGTAAATTATTTTTATATTAGGAAGGTAAAATATAGTAATTAGAAATCGGTCTTTACTGATCGCTGGACTCTAGGTGTTCATAATATTGCTGCTTTTGTCAAAATGATGTTCTTTCTTACTGGTACTCTACCCTCCTGTCTGTGACCTCACTGCACTGGACAGACATGCATTGATCTTCACTAAGTGGCTGGTTTTTACTTGATTTAACCCAAAATAAGATTTCATTCCATCCGATGTACCAAGCAGAACCTGGTTGAAAAATTATACAAATGGAAAGAGAGGAATCTGCAAGGGTACAAGAGATAATATTGTTTAATTAAAAACAGTAATGAGTTAGATAATTTGAAATATAGGTGATTAAAGTGAATGACAACTGATACTTTTAGGTAATGGGATGTTTGTTAAAAGATGGAAATATTTTTAAAAAAAGAAATGTAAAAAATTGTTATTGATATTAATGGCTGAGCTGAATTCGAATAGAATAATTATTTTATCTACTATTGTTATACATATATGTGCGTGTATATATGGATCTTTGGATATTTGGGTTTTCTCCCGCGTAAAATTGGAAGTATCTAGGCGACGTTTCGATGAAGTCTCATCATCTTCAGGCTTGTATCTTCGGCTTTGTGCTTCTCGGAGTAATGTGAGCTTGCAGCTGCTTCTTCCTTTTAACTGCTAGTGGGGGTGGGACTTGATTGGGTGGGGGCTTGGCTGTGTTCTGATTAGGTGGGGGTTGGCTGTGTTCTGATTGGCTGGGGGTGTGTTCTGTTCAGGTGGGGACTTGGTTGTGCTCAGGTTAGTCTTAGTTGCTGGGGGATTTGAGCTGGTGAGCTGTGATCCTTTTGTTTGGCTTCGCGTTCGTGGTCGTGCCACATCTTGATGGTGGGCATCCATTCGCTTCATGAATGGGTCGGAGGGGTTTGAAGCGGGTAGTGATGCAGCTGTGGTACGGCTTCTGGTCCATGGTCGTGTCTCGTCTTCTGTGTGGGTGTGAGTCTGCTTTCTACGTGGAAATGTGGTGGTAGCATCTTGTGTGGCCCTCGTGGGTGTGGGTCGTGTCATTCTTCATGTTAGGTACTCATTTGTTAATGAGGGCGGGTTTCCAAATGGCTGGTAGGCGGGAAGTATCATCTCGTTTATTCATGCTGTGTGGGCGTTTTTCTATCTCTATGGCTTCTCTGATTATTCTGTTGTTGAAGTGTTTGGTTTTGGTGATAGTTCTGGTATTTTTAAAGTCAATCTCATGTCCTATGGCTTTGAGGTGTTGGACCAGGGAAGAGGTCGGTTCTTCTTTTTTGATTGAGTTCTTGTGTTCTTCAATGCGTGCACTTATTCTTCTGTTAGTTTGTCCGATGTATGTGGTAGGACATGCGGTGCATGGGATTTCGTATACTCCTTGGTTTTCTAACTCGATTTTGTCTTTAGGGTTTCTTAGGATGGTGGATATTTTTCTGTTTGTGCACACCCCCACTAGCAGTTAAAAGGAAGAAGCAGCTGCAAGCTCACATTACTCCGAGAAGCACAAAGCCGAAGACACAAGTCTGAAGATGATGAATGAGACTTCATCGAAACGTCGCCTAGATACTTCCAATTTTATGTGGGAGAAAACCCGAATAACCAAAGATCCACATACAAATGCCCGCGAAAACCTCAGAAAACAAATATATATATCAAGAACTTAGTGTATATTTCTAAGGGAATGTACCAAGCAGAATTCGGTTGACAATAGTTATGTGTTATAAAATAGAAGTTAGAAAATGAATATTATAATTGTAAAGGCATAAATTAAATCCTAAATAAGTAACTACAGGGGAAAATTTTTCTTATGAGAAAAGAAAATATGAAATTGTAAACAGGACAGACAAAAGTATAAAAATGTTTATAAGAAAGATACTGAAATTTGGAAAAAGATATGTAATTAAAATTAAAAAAGAATGAGATAATTAAAAATAAGGTTGTAGAAAGCAAGGAAAGGGAAAAATCACTGAGAAAATGTGCAAATAGTTATAAGATATGGAATAGAATATACAAGATGAATATGTAATTGAGTTTATGCCTGTATGGAAAAGTGACAACCCGGGATCATGCTATTCTCAAAAAAAGATATCTTATTTGTATTATGTTTTGTGAAAACCCAAATAAAACTTAACACAAAAAAATTTCATTCCATCCGTTGCATTTGTAAGTAGATAGTGCTTGTTTACCAACTGTCTCACACAACAACTATTTGCATTATAATAGTGATGAAAAAAATAAACTAATACTTGTATTTATTTATTACCTTTGCAGGTCTGTAAAGCAAAAGAAAGCTGAAGTAGTATCATAATCCTAACCCTTGCAGGGGACTTTTGCCCAACCTCTTTGAGAGCAAAAGTGTTGCCTGACAGATAGATATGTGAGGCAGAATCTCTCTGCCAAGCAGTGCTCTCATGGAGGCTTGATGAAAATCCGAGGAGATATTTCAGGATGGCTAGTGACTTGCAACCTTCCCTGCCAGCTTCTCTGCTCTTTCTGGTTAAGCCAGTAGGGAAGATCGCAGATAGCCATCACTTCATCTCAGGGCACCCGAACATCCAGATCGCAATCAAATAACCGTGGAGGCACTGCAATGGTCATACGTTCATCTGTGGGTCATAAGTCCCTTCATTCAGGGCTGTCGCAATTTCAAATGGTCACTGAATGAACAGTTGTTAAATGAAGACTAGCTATATAATATAATAGTATGGTTTATGTTGATTGCTTATTTAGTATCCATGACTATCACTAAGTGTTGTATCTAATGTTTTATGTATTTTTACAATGACTATGATAATGATCTATCACTATTGTTGTATGTACGCTGAGAAAAATTCCTTGCGTGTCTAATCACACTTGACCAATAAAATTTTAATTCTAATTCTCTGCAATTTCTATAGGATGGGATGGGGAATTCTAAATGCTGACTTAATATACAAATAAATAAAATGCATCCAGTTGGAATCTTGCGCAAAGCCTTATCTAACACCACAGATTGTGATTTGCGACTTACAACCACAAAAGAGACCAAAATTTCAATTGTTAAGCAAGGCAGTTGTTTAGTGAATTGAACCTAATTTTATGATTTTTGCCAGAGCAGGGGTGGGATGCTACTGGTTCTGTCCGGTACTAAAGAACCGGTAGCTCTAAAGAGCAGCAGACACCGAACTGGTTCTGTGTTTGCTGCTGTTTGGCCCACCTGCCCGCCCGGGCTCTTACCTGTCCTTTATTTCCTGCTTTTTCAACCTCAGCTGCTTTGTGCAGCACAGCTGAGGTTGAAAAAGCAGGAGAAAAGAGGCTTTTCAAATGCTGCGCACCCGCGTGCAGTGCTTTTCAGCTGTCCGGGTGGCACAGCTGATTTTTTTTTACACACGTGTGCAAAACATAATCACCGAACTGGTAGTAACACTGGTTGAATCCCACCCCTGTGCCAGAGTTGTTAAGTGAATCATTGCACACAGTGAATCAGTCATTAAGTGAATCTGGCTTTCCTCTCCACACTGACTTTGCTTGTCAGAAACTAGGTAAGATCATAAATAGTGATCGTATCACTCCAGGATGCTACAACCTTGCCAAATACATGCCAAGTGCCTGAATTTTGATCATGTGACCATGGGGATGCTGTGAATGTTGTAAGTGTGAGGACTAGTTGTAAGTCACTTTTTCAGTGCCACTGTAACTGAATGGTCGCTAAACGAATAGTTGTAAGTTGAGGGCTACCTGTATTTCTATTTTGAATCACAGAAAGTTCTAGTGGGAGGAATTAAGGTGGAAAAAAAAAAGGAATTCCATGCCTCTATGAATCTGAGACACTGTGCAGAAATATACACTTATGTAAGAAGCTAATTGTTAACATATTTTTAAATATGTACTAAGAACTTAAATAGTTCTTAACACTGAGAAACAAAACACAGCGTAAAAGTATTTCAAAATGGAGTAAAGATATTCATTTCAGACAGTTAATACATGAAATCATGAATACATTAAAAATATTCAGTAAAGAAATAAAGTTTTCATAAATTTTAACACACTATCCAGCCTTTTCTTCTACAATATTTAGAAAATTGGGAGGAAGGGAAATGAAGTTTTTAAAAAAAATACTTTGTTTATTTAATGTCAATATTCATGGGACTTGTGCTTGTTTCAGCAGCACATATACTTAAATTGGAATAATGCCATTAATGGGAACTAACGTATTATGTATATTTTATAAATAATCATGTTTGAAACTTGGGAGATTCAACAGCTGTCTAATAACTTTGTGATTTCATATTTGTCTGTGGTCTTAATTTTGGCAAAACTAATTCCCTACTAATAGTAAGTGACAATAAGCTGTTATAGAAAAGTTGCTCCTTTAAAAAAATACCAGACATTTTTCTGCTATTATGCTGTAGACATCCATGGACACTTCATATTATGTATTTCATTATTTACAGATGAAAAAAAATGATTTTCCCTTAATATTTTTTAAAAGAAAGAACTCTGTTTTTATACTTACCATTCCATGATTCAGCCAAGTTGGTATAAAATTATCAAGCAGCTTGGGGTAAACAAGTTCTCTGTCATAGATATAGATGCTCCAAAACATTAGCACAACAAACTGGGACAAAGAGAAAATAATACATATATAACTTTTCAGGTATATAAAGTCACACTTTTATTGTAAGAATTACATTTTATCAGTATCACCAACCAACCAGTTACTACTGTTCTGTTGTATATACTTTTAATGTACAAAGTAGTTTAACTCTAGGTTGGCTAGCTTATACATATGCAGGGAGTCTTCACTTAGCAATGGTCATTGGGACTGGCAACCCCATAGTTAAGGACAATTTAAGGTGTCATTGTTAAGCTAATTCATCACGTGATCTCCATTTGAACCTCCTGCCAGCTTCTCAATTGACTTTGCTTGCTGGAAGTTTGCACTGAAAACTACAAGTGGTGATCATGTGACTGCAGGATGCTACTGTGACTGTGATAATTGTGAGCCAGTTACTGAGTATCTGAATTGCTATCACATGACTGTGGGGACATTGCGATAACAGCAACTATGAGGATTGATAGTAAGTCTCCTTGTCCAGTGGTGTGGTAAAGTGGAATGATTGCTGAATGAATGGTCACTTTTTTCAGTGTTGTCGTAACTTTGAATGGTCATAAATTGAGGATTATCTATATTCATTATTGTACCACGATCTCTGTTGTATGCAACTAGAGTAATATTTTGGACTATAGTAATTTCCTCTAAATCACAAATAATTCATTAGATTCAGTCCTTTAGGGTCATGTATGAACTAATTGAATCTTAGCAGATTCATCCCTCTAACAGAAATACTTGAAGTACTGAACTATACCATACATTACAAGTATCACAGTTTATTTTTGCTCAATGCAGTTTACACTCAGAGTAGCCATGAACAATGATTCTGAGAAATATGTGAACCCTATATATTCTAATGTAAGATGCTGAGTTGTCTACTTGAGATATGCATGACAGCAGCACACTACCAATAGCAATTGCACTTAGAATTATATATCACTTCATAGTGTTTTACAGTACTTTCTAAGTGGTTACAGAGTCAGCATATTGCCCCTCATTTTACTGAGCTTGGAAGGATGGAAGGCTGAGTCAACCTTGAACCGGTGAGAATCAAACTGCTGGCAGCTGGCAGTCAGTAGAATTAGCCTGCAATATTGCATTCTAACCACTGTGCCACCACGGCTGTAATTATAAAGATGTTATAAAAGGGGAGTAAGTACAATGCTAGACATACTACAGATAATCATTGACTTACAATGGAATTGGAATTGGAATTTCCGTTGTTAAGCAATGAAGTCTACTTAGCAATGGCAATCAACTTAGTCTAGTGATACATTCGTATCACTAGGCGAGGCAACTTCCTGCTGGCAACCTACAATCAAAGTCTGTGGAGAAGCCTATGGGAAGTTGTAAGCCCCAGGCCAAAGTGTATGAGAGGCATGGCATGGTTAGAATTCACAAAAGTGCAAGGAGCAGCAAGAAAGGCATGGTGTGGTTCGAAGAGAGTGTGCGAAGGAGCATGTGAGGCATAGTGAGGGTCCAGAAAGGTATGCAAGACATATGGGCTGGATCATGGAAGAGAAAGTGCATGAAGATGCAAGGGAGTGAATGAGAAGTGCTACATGTCAGGGAGGGGGTGCGGTGATCAAGGAGGATGTGCAAGGCACAGATCAGAGAGCGTACACAAGGATGTATACAAAAGGCACTGTGTGGGTCAGGGAGGGTAAGTGAGGGTGTGGGTGGCTGGTGAGTGCAGAGACCCTGGAGAGGGTGTGGGGGACATTTAACCCTGGTCGGGGAGATTTAACCCTGCAACTTGTGACTTTCCCCGTCAAGACTCCCTGACAGGTAAGGAATTTCGCTTATTTCTCCAAAATTCAGTGTAACATTTGAGAGTTTTCTAGTTTCAACTACTGAACAACCTCTAAGTTTTCTGTGGACTTTAGATCTGGAGTCTGACTTTGGCATTCTAAAGCACTCCATTTGTTCTTCTGTTCTCTTGTGGCCTTGTTTAAATGTCTGCAATCAGTGCATGACTCATTCATGCTTTAGCTTATGATCGGTTAGTTGATATTAGAGAAGTTTATGCTCTAAGGCAGAAATCCATTTAAGAGCTGGTGCAGATGCATATATACCATACTTGTCATACTTTTCTTTAAAAAGCAGTGTCTTTTCCTGCCTTGCATAGTAATTCTATGATCCTAGGAAAGTAGGTGTTTGAAATATTGCACCCTTAAATCAAAATAATATTTCCCTGTGATCAAGCCAATATTGTGAGAGCAGAGGAAGATAAAGAACTGATAGGAGGTGATGACAAATGTGGAAGGCATACCAACACAAACTTTGAAATACAGCAGTTCACTACTTAATATTATCCTATGGAATTTTCTACTATAAAGCAGAATTCATATTTTCTTTAATGATGGCAGGTTACACCAGTCCTGAGGCAGCAAGGCATATTCCATGTACCATGACAATATCACTTCCATGCCTAACAGATGGTACTTTTTATTGCAGTATTTGGTTTCTGCCTGACATAATGATACCTGTATAGTCTGAATGGTTCTACTTTTGATTCTGGAACATTAATGCAAAAAAAAAAAAAAAATGAAGGATGGGGTCATCTATGTGCTTTATGGCAAACTACAGAATAGTATCCATGTTGTCATTAGTGAGTTATGGCTTCCACTTGCTATTTTCCCATGAATCTTATTATTAGTGTCTTCTGCAAATCAAATCCACAGTCTAGTTAATCAGTTAACCCAGAAAATCCCTGGATGTTTTCCAGGGTTTCTTTGTGACTTCCTGAAAAAACGTTTTGATAACTCTTGGAGTGATGTTGATCCATGTCAAGATTATGTCTCTTAATTCTGTATCAATGAAATCTAAGATTATATTTCATTCAAGAGATCATTTAAGATATTAAACAAAAGCATTAGAAAAGAAACTTCCAGTGCTAGATTTCAAAAAGTAAATCTGATATTAACGGGTGATTTTAAAAAGCTGTATTTGAATATTTTTTGAAGCACAGAAAGCTTATTGACCTTCCCTGTGAGGTAAAAGAAAGGAAATTCCATCTGTCCTGTCAAAGTCGGACAATGTATGCAAAATTGGTTGCAACCATCTGGTGCTCCAGGTGGCCAGAACTTCTTTAATGAAACAGGTAGGAAATTATTCTAGTTTTAGCCAAATTGCCCATTCAACATTTCTTAAAACTCAATAGCCTATCCCATTGCCCAAAAATCTAAATGTTCCAACTTATAATCAACATAATTATTAAAAAATAGATCTGGATCAGAACAATTCCTTAAGATGTATCAACTCTAGGAATCTAGAAAAATGTAATAAAACAGAATATGATTTTCACACATTCTCTTTGGACCTCCTCCCTTGCTCTTGAAACTGTTTTTATTCTGCCAAGCTTTTTACTGATTCGTTGCTAATTTCCTATTTATTATTTTTTACTTTATTTTCATTATTTGTTCAATTATTTTTACGTAGCTTTCTAAAAGTTCACTCAGACATCATTGCCCCCAAATTACAATGATACTATTAAAATGTGTTTGTTTGTTTTTTAAAAAACTGCATCTATGAGATTTTATGGCTTCAACTCAGGAAGTAGAAAAGGACTTTTCATGCAGCAAAACTCTTTTAATGAACAAAAGCCTTCCGAATATGCATAATGAATGAAATTGGTAATTCAAGATAATACAAAATTGATATACAAAGTGATACCTTGGTAACTATATACAAAGATGATTGATATACAAAGTTATGCAGCTAGCCCCAGTTCAGTGACTGTTCAAAGTTGGGATGCACTGAATGAGTGGTACTTAAACCAGTACTTGCAATTTTGGATATCACAGCATGCACACAGACAAATGATCAGATTTGGGCATTTGGCAACCAGTTCACACTTTATCATGGTTGTATCATCCCACAATTGTGTGATCACGATTGGTAACCTTCCCTGCCGGCTTTCCAGAAACAAAGTCCTAGAGATCTCGTACTCCATAGCACTCATTCCACCAGCCTGCCCTTAACACCATGCACTGACCTGCAACAACCTCTCTTCTTGCAGCCCTCACCAACCTGCCTATGCTCCCTATTACCCACCCATAGACTCCGCCACCTTGCCTGCAGCCTCTGCTGGTCTGCCCACACTTCTTTAGGATTATCAATTCATTTTAAGGAGAGATTAGAATCAGGCACTTCAATCAATCGCATGTTCAGCAGTTATGAGTGTGGAAAGTTTGCTTTACTTAAAGTACAGAATTCTGGCTATTCATTAACCAAGTCTGATCTTCACAATACAGATATATAGAAGAATGACTTTAACAAAGTCACATCTCTGAGGAAACAGCTATTGAGGCTCACTCAGCTGTAAAAAGTTACAAAACTATTTCCAAAGCATTTGGACTCCACCAGTCCACTATCAGGAAGATCATGTACAAATGAATGGCCATTCAACATTAGTGTTACCCTTCCCAAAGATCACACCAAGAACAAAACGTGTAATATTCCAGCAGCTTTCAAAGAAACTCAGTAAGATCTAAGGCAGGGGCTCCCCTAACCACCTGGGCCGCGGCTCTGTATTGGGTTCCGGCTGCAGTCCATTCAGAATTGGGCCGCACAAGCAGCCGCACTCGTGCACACACAAATGAAGCTGTGCATGCACAGCTGTCCTTCACACAAAACCATTCCCTCTTCCCCTCTCCCCGCATCAGGCCGCCAACCCAGAAAGGTCGGGGATTGCTGATCTAAAGAACTAAAAGCCTCTCTCACATTGGCAAATGTCAGTGATTATGAGACACACACCCCAATTGGAACAACATTGAACATGGTGTGCATGGAACAACAACAATGGTGTGCATGGAACAATTGCAAGAGGAGAGCCACTACTCTCCAAAAAGAACACTGGTGCCTATCTATAGTTTGCAAAATACCATGTGGATAAGCCAGAAGGTTACTGGAAAAGTGTTTTGTAGCAAGATGAGACTAAAACAGAATAGTTCTGGCTTCAATGAAAAGTGTTATGTTTGTCAAAAGGCAGCACTATTTCAGTCTAACAACCTTATCCTATCTGTGAAACATGCTGGTGGTAGTATCATGGTTTGGATCTGCTTTACTGCCTCTTGAGGACTAGGAGAACTTGCCATCATTGACCACGAGATATCAATGGAATGGGATGCGAACCATAAACTCTGAATTGTACCAGAAAATTCTACAGGAAAATGTCAGGGTATCTGCTGTGAACTGAAACTGGAAGTGGGTCATGTAGCAAGACAATGACCTTTGAACAACCAAAGAATGATTAAAGCAGAAAAAATAAATATTTTGGAAAGGCCAAGTCAAAATTCTGACTTTAATCCTATAGAAGTGACCTGAAGAAGGCAGTTCATGTGAGGAAGCCCACCAACATCCTTGAGTTAAAAGCTGCTATATATAAGGAGGAATGACTAGAATTCCTCCAAGACAATGCACGGGACTGATTAATAATAATTGGAAATGTTTAGCTGCAGGGGAGCACACTAGTAACTGAAAGCAAAGGTTCACATTTTCCTCATTTGTTTAATTACATCCTCTTTAGTTTTAAGACTTGTGTAAAGAATCAATCATGTTTTAGATCATAATGCTGAAATTTTGAAGATTAAAAACAATTCACAAACTTTTAAGTATTCTATGCTATTTTGCTATTTTGTTGCTTTTACAAATGCACTTTAAATTGATTATCAGTACTTTCAATTGTTTTAATCATTATTTTTATATTACAAGTGTCCCTACATGTGAATTTGGAGGCATATAGAGATAAATTATACATTTAAAGTGGTCCTGTATTGCCCACTGAACTTATGCACTAAACAGTTTTGTTAATATAATTACAATGAATGAATAAGTAGAATTAAATGCAGTAAATAAACAGCACATTTTAGTATATAAAATTGCACTGATGACTATGAGCTTTCCTTTAAATAACTAACATTTTAAAAACAGAATAAAAGCCAAGGGTGGTATACTCTCAATTAGAAGGAAATTCCTTTCTTTTCATGGTACTTACAACCCCAATGGGAAAAGCTAAAACAGCCATCATCCAGTCACGGAGGGAGATGAGTTTTTTTAGTTGCCTTTCTTGTTCTTGGCTGTCATTTCCTTTAGTCAGAAGGCTGGAAAGGTCAGTCAGTACACAGATCCCAAAAAAGACTGCTTGAACAACCTGCATTAGAAATATAAACATATTGGAACACAAATATCTCAGTCTCACTAATATCATTTTTATCTGCAGATGGTGGTGGTGATATTTGGCAGCACCTGGTGACCTGATGGTGATGACATTTGGCAACAGTGAATTTATTTAGCTTTTTAAAATGCTCAGGCTACACATTGTGCAGGCTTACTCTGAAGCCTTGCTTCATAAAAAAATAGGAGGAACTATCGTCTTTACTGTCCAGAGTAACCCTGGCTTAATAGTCAAACACCGTTTCAAATATGCAATGAAAATGTATTATTCTCATTTTCTGCTCTACCAAGTGAAAATGCATTTTTTTATACAGTGACGAAAGGGCTGCTTAGCAAGCATGGAAAAGTAGACAGGATATGTGCATTTATCCTGAACTCTTCCTCTTCAATTATAGTATTATTGCCAATTCTGAGAACAAGAGGCAGTCTGGCATCATTCTTGAAAAAAGATCTGTCTCTGTGGATAATTTTCTCACTTAATGCACCAACATTTTATTTCTGGTCCCCACTGTCAACATCTTTGCACTTTTGCCCATATATGAAAAAAACACATAAAAATCACCCTGATATCTACTTAAGTAACCATCACATTTTATTTTAAAAAGCTCTAATTTATATCCTTAACCGCTGTTTCTTCTTCTTCTAAACTGTATGTACAAAATCTGCCCTTATTACTTTCCATGTCCTGTTTACAAGACAGGGCATTTTTATCCATTTAGCAAATATGTGTTTATGTAGAATATATTTTTACTATCTTTTTTAAAGTTTAATTTTGCTTGACTCCTATTCAACATATACAATTATTTTGAATTAAATATATATTTATATAACATACAATATTAGAGTTGTGATTAGTGATATATCTAGGCCATCTGCCAGGCATCAATTAATATTTGAAAAAGCCATTAACAAGCTAGGTAAACTTTGGCTTAACTTATTGAACAAGCAAAGAAACATTTATCACAGATATTTATATTAAGTTGTACTTATGGATTAAGTTTACAATATCATGAAAACTCTACCATGTTTTAAAATAAATAGTTCACTCAACCAAAAGGGAATGATTTAGAGAAGTCTTTCTCTGATAAGTAGCAGACAAATTATTTATGTGAAAATTCTAAAATATACATAATATATCACATGGCCCAAAGCAAAGTGGCTTTTCTAATTAATGCTAAGTAAGATTAGGGCAAGATCTTGCCCTATTATGATACCCCTGTGACATCAGAATGTTAGATCTGTAACTGTTTGAATAAATATTTTATTATTTATTAATTTTTTCCTTATCTTGTTATATTCAAATGATTCTTGGCTGTATTTTCATATATTTCTGGAAGCTTTATAACTTTAGGGAGACGAAAGATTTGGATAAAACTACATTACTATATAGAAACAACACATCCATGTTGTTATCAGGAGTCAACATTCAATGGTAGAGAAGGGAAGTTAATTTAACTGGTATTTGCAACACACCAGTGGTACACCAATTCAAGCAGTACATTAGTGTTGTGTTTGTTGTTTATGTTACAAGACTTTTTGCTTGCCTTTCTGACCTTTCTGGAATATTTCACCTATTATCCTCTTGCTCAGTTATTTTTACTCAATTTTCATCTACCCACTTCAGCTTGTGGATTATGTCTCAATTTCATCCTGAGCTCCTCTATTAATTTATTAATGCAGATCTTAATCACTATAAACCATAAATACAGCATAAGGTAAGACTAAAATCATGTAGTCATCCTTGTACTATTTGAATAAATATAAAATAATAATAAACAAGAACATCCATAAAGCTTGAGACCACTGATGTCTGAGACACTACATCAAAGAAACTTTAGAAACAATTAGAGAAACACTAAAGATGCCATATTTCTAGACTCTTAGCCTTGGGAGTATGATAAGGAATTCCTAAAGCCATTCACAAAGAATCTACAGCATTATGACTTCAAAAATTATATAAGTTTTAACTGTTCATTCTTAATTAACCCACTAATTTTGGAAAATACAGTTTTCAGCAAGATTTCCCTTTGAAGTGCTTTAAATTTATTGTTTTTGTCCATCAAATAAATTTAAATTTTGTGTTTGTGTTTGACATTTCTGAATTTTAGATCTATACTTTGTACATCATTAGGAAATAAAATTTTGTGTATGTATTTAATTAGCCAAATGGAAAAAATGCAAATACAGTAGTAAATAATTTGGACTCTGACAAAATTCATTTATGTCCCCAGTTCTATAACATGCAACTGAAATCAATGGTGGGATTCAAGTTTTTTAGTACCGGTTCTGTGGGCATGTCTTGGTGGGTGTGGCAGGGGAAGGATACTGTAAAATCTCCAGTTAGAGGTGGTATTTGCCAGTTCTCCGAACTACTCAAAATTTTCACTACCGGTTCTCCAGAACTGGTCAGAACCTGTTGAATACCACCTCTGAACTGAATAGGAAAATGATACAATAATATTAAAATGATATAATTTAAAAACAAGCTAAACTGAAATCTCCATGAGGATTTACTAAGAAACAAATCATTTGGTCTTTTTTACAAATTTAGAAACAAAACAAAATCTATATGCAGAGACAAACTTAATGCAGAATGACATGAAACATGAACCCAAATGACTCTCAATCCAGCTTTGTAAAAATGGAAGCATCTTGCACAGTAGATAATACCTATCCTCCTTAACATATTTCCAGTTTGTTTGTCTGTTTGTATCCTGCCTTTATTATTTTTAAAAATAACTGAAGGTGGTGAACAGGTCCAATGTACTTTTCTTCTATTATCACAATACTCTCCCTGTTTTTGAGAGCAATAGGTCAGAGAATATGGAGGTCTCAAGAAACCAAAAAAGACAGAGGAAGAATTATCTCAGAGAAAAGAAAGATGAATAAACTGGGGACTTCCGGTTTGAAGGGCTTCGGCGACAGACAGAAATCCACGATCGTGCACGGTTTCGGTCTGGGCTCGCCACTGGAGCGCCCCAAGCCGTCTGGTTTCAGGGCTAAGCCACCCCGTAGAGGTGATGAAGAGGGGGGAGACCGCCAGCAGGGTTGAGGAGAGCCGCATCTCTCCTCCTCAGCTGGCCATTACTCCCTTTCCCGAAGGCGGTTGCAGCGGTGGTCAGAAATGGCCACCACAAAGAAGAACTCGACCGGAAAAGAATGTGCAGGAGGAAGATAAGAAGTGAAAGTTTTGGCTGACCGGGTTAAATTGTGAAAGAAACAACTAAGGTACCCTGGAATTTAAACTTACAAAAAAATAACATCGCTCCCAAAGAAGAGTCGGAAGCAGCGAAGGAAAGGGAAAAGGGAAAGGTTTGGCTTATTTTTCCTTCTCTCTCCTTCCCTATACTGACAACTAAGAGACTTAAATAAGAAATCGGAAAAATCCACTTTGACATCAATAGGCAATTAAGCTGAAAATAAAATAAAATGCCAAAGGGATAATAAAGATTTCTGGACACTAAATTTTTTTTTTCATAAGCAGGAAGTGAGAGAAAAAAATAAGGGCAGGATCTGGAAGAGGGAGGAGACTGCCTGGAATTAAAAAGAATCTACAGTAAAACTTCAACAAGACTTCTAAAAGATACATTTTAGCTGAAACTTTGTAACTAAACAGTAACCTCAAGAAGAGAAAGTGAAAAAAAAGAGCAAAAATAAACAGCTTGCGTGTATTTGGATTATTTGGTGATCTTTGGATTCTTGGTTATTACATTTGAATGACTAAAATTAATCGGGTGGTTGTTTAAAAATTTATACAGTGGCACCACTTCTGGATGAATTGAAAATGGAACTTAAAAAGTACAAAGAAGATGCACAAGAAGGGAAGGGTTCTCTTGGCTTCGTTTTTCAATTCTTAGAAATGGAGATTTGGAACTATGAGAAACAACAAGAAACGTCTGTAAAACAAGAAGACTGGGACAAAGAAGAAGCCATCTTTAATGAACAAGTAATTTTATGTGGGGAAGAAAAAGGAAAGGGGGGAAAGAGAATGGAGAATTTAAGATTTAAAAAAACAACCAAAGAAAAGAAAAATAATTCGAAAAATAAGTATAATACTGGAAAGCAACAGAAAAGGGGAATACAGAAGAGAGAAATAGAGATAGAGAGACAAGGGGATAAAAAGGGGAGAGAGGAGAAGAGAGGGAAGAAGGAAAGGAAAAGAAGTTACAAAGGACCGGAGCAAGATATAGAGAAACAGGACCTATTTAGAGATAATGTGTGAAAATCTAACTGAAAAAGGGATTCTGTAAAGGTACATAAGATTGTATTGTTCTATTAGTAATAGAAATAACTTTAGAAAATTGGAAACAATGTATGATTAAAATGAGGGATAAAATAGTTAGTGTAATTTAGTGAAATGTTTGTGAATAAAATAAGTGAAATAAAATAAATGAGAAAATTGAATTAGGAAGGAACGGGAACATTTTAATTAGTTAATGTTTTATAAAATATAAGTGAAGAAGGGGGGGAATTAATTATGGAAAGCTTATAATTGTTCCCATAAAAGTATGATATTTAATTGAAAAGTAATGTTAAAGAAGTTAAGACTTTAATGAATATTAATATTAATGATAGAATTGAATTGGAATGGAATGTGTTGTTTTAATTACATACATTTATAATTTTTTCTTTTTTTAAGAATATAGTGTGTATTTTAAGAATGTACCAAGCAGAATCCGAATGAAAGTTATGTATTATATTGAATGTTATAACTTTAGGGTATATATTGAAGCCTAAATAAGAGTTAAATGGATAAACTTAAAATATATAAAGGTGTCATACTCCAATCAGTAACTACAGGAGAAATTTTGTTTAATGAGAAAAGATAATAGATAATTGAAACAGGACAGACAAAAAATACAAATATAATGATTTGAATTGAGATGAGATAATTAAAATAAAATCGAGAAAATTAAAAGAGGGGAGAAGCTATGCAGAAAATGTAAAACAGTAATAAGATATGGAATAGAATATAAA